GTGTTTGCCTGGAGCGCAGCAAATAGCACATGCTAGGGTTCAAAACAACTGCCGTAAAGTGCATTCCATAGACTGTTTGGGCAAGTGTATTTGGGTTAAAAGGAGAGTTTAGGATGAGGCTGTAACAACATGTGATCTATGATCTTCGTCCTCTAAGCAGCATGCAGAGGTTCAGGGCTAAGGAGAAGGCATGCAGAAATGTGTGTGCGTAAATATAAATCTGTAATATTTTCTTGTCGGTTATGTTCCTCCCATAAAAGTGTTTCAATGTATACTTCACAAAATGTATGAAATACAATGGTTCAGAATTCAACCTGGAAACGGAAAGTATGGGGGAACAAGCCTGACCCTTCCGTGTGTGCTGCTAGGGCTGCCATGCAGGGTCTCCGTGGCCCGGAAGATGCCCTGGCTTTTCCCAAGTGATGTGGCCAGACCGCCCTGACGACATGAAGCCAGTCAAGGTCCCAGACGAAGAAAGCCTGGACACAAAGACAGGTTGTGGAGGCCAAGTGGACAGAACCGAGGCAATGTAGATCCATGGAGGGACCCAGGAAACTGAAACACTCAGGGCATGGCTGCAGCTCGTTCACAGCCTGTGTCAGCGCCCAGTGGCCGGTTTGTTGGCTATGTTCTGGCTGTTCACAACATGAGCATCAGAGGGAGCTGGCGTGAGAACGGGCAGCAGCTCACAGAGCAACAGGAAAGCGCTAAGCAGAGGGGCTGCTGCCACGCTGCGCATGCAGTGCAAATCGCCAATCAAGGGACCTGCAGGACAGAGGTGTGGACGGCACCGAGCCCTTACAGGGTCCTCCGAAGCTCCCTTGGCTTCTCTAGCTCCTTTGGAGCCCTGGAAAAGCCACTGGTTGGGTTGATTTAAGGTGAAATTGTGCGGGGTTAACGGGAGCACAACACAGGGAGCGCCTCTGTGTCCATCCTCTTTGTCCCGTGGACTGTAGGTGGCACGGCAGGGGGGAGTTATGCTGCGCAGGAGAGAAAAACCTGCAGCCTCCAGTCCTCTAAGAGGAAGCCCCCTCTTCGCATGGCAGGCAGCGCCAGTCCAGATGGGCCCAGAAGCACCTGCCTTTGTCAATGCCAAGGCTCCCCAGGGCGGGGGCTCTGACGGTGACGCGGAAGTGCTCTCCCTTCCCCATACCCGGACTGCTCACTGAATCAGGTTAACATCAAGGGGAGAAGGGGGATTCCCACGAGGAGGCGCACAGCTCAGCAAACGCACAGGGGTTCAGTGTGGAGATGAAGACAGACTGGTTGAGGGCAGACTAAGGAGGAGGCGGGCGCGGGGAGGTATGGGGGTCTGCAGGAGGACTCTGCCTCGATGGCCAGAGCATGTGCAGCCACCTGTGTTCAGGACATGTTTACAATGCATCTGCTGTTCTTCCTTTCCTTTCCTTGACTCAGCGGTAGGTGGGCTGATTGTGCTTGTTACTGGAGCGTGTACTCTAAAGACAGTAAATGCTTCCTCCTTTGTTTTCTGCACAAAGTAACCTCAATCCCTTCAACTGTCATGTCTTAATTTAGAAATCATAGTAGGTAATACTGGAATAAAATAAAATTTCTTCTTTTTGATATTTCCAGAGTTATAAATTATAGGCCACAGAATCAAATCATTTCAGACGAAAAGAAGAATAAGTGGCTGGATCTGCTGCAACATGTTTCTTTCTCCTTAATTGCAAGAAAAAGCGTAATTACTAGCCTTTGCTGCATAGTGAATGGGAACTGTCGCTCTCAGTCAGGAGAAGGTACTGACAGGAAGCCAACCTACATGAAATTAAATCTCATTAGTTAAAAAATCAGTCTCATCGGATATACATTCAGACCGTCAGGTTTTCATCACGAACCCTCTCCTCATGTAATATACACATGACGTCATGTGCTGTATTTAGGCTGCCTCCACTGTAGCCATGGCAACTCTCACACAAAACGTAGCTGAGTTGTTCATTTCACTCCAAATTTAATGAATATAAAGCTAATCCTATTGTTGTTCTTAGCAATTCTCCAAGTAGCTTCTGAAAGAGCTCTTGCTTCTATATTCTGTCTTTTAAAAGCAGATTATTAGAAAATTACATGTGTGGTGTTCTCTGTCCCCTCCTGGCCAACAACACAGGCCCCGCTTCACAGAACAACCCATGATTGAGAGGGAGGTCGTGTCTCCCCACAGTGCTCCTTCACATTTTTCTTGCAATTCCAGGATGGGTAAGACTGTTAAATATAGCAATTTGGGCCATTAAGCATTTCAGAGACTGTCACTAAAATTATGGTAAAATAATAGTTTTTAAGATAGGCCACATTATGTACATTTGTGTAAATCTTAAAAGGGTGCTTCCATTATCCTGCTTTGCATTTTAAATGGGCTCCCTGAGACCTTCCTGGGGGGCAGGAAGATGGGTTCCCTCGTTCCTCTTCCATGAAGAACAAGTGACAGCTAAGAGATCTACTGAAAAGTAATCCTAGGTACAACCATGACCAGACATCTGTCTGTAATTATGATAAGTACTAAATGTCACCAACGTCAAGAAAAATGAAAATAAAAACAGTGAACCACTCCCAGGTCCCTACTGCACTGATGCAGCATGGGATTGCTCCCGCTGGGCATCTCCAAGCTGGGGCCCTGGACACTACACCCTGTCCTGGGAGAAGCTAGAGCCCAGTCTGCACCTGCAAAGAAGTGCTTCTCCACCTGCTACTGCGCTCAGACCTAGTCGGCACAGGAGGTCACGATGAGGAGAGGCCCCAAGTCTGCACGATGCCCCAGCTCTGCTGAGCTCACAGGGCTCTACCATCTCCTGTCCTTGTTCTCTGCAGGGGCCTCCCCTGTGCTCTTGGGTGGAACAGTAAGTGACAGTGGGAAGGGATCTTCTGGGCTTGTCCGGAACAGAACACAGCATAAGTCATAAGAGGGCAAGAACGCCCATGGCCCTGTATCTTTGGCTCTGCAAAGAGAGCATGTCTGGCCAACAGGGGCAGAAAGCACACGAGGGCCCACCATCTTCTTTGGATAACACCTGGGAAACTAAAGTGACCTGAAAGAAGCCTTCCTTCCTTCCTCCCTCCCTCCCTGCCTTCCTTCCTTCCTTCCTCCTTCCCTCCCTCCCTCCCTCCCTTCCTTCCTTTCTTCCTTCCTTCCTTCTAGTCTGAACCCAGATGCAGGATTCTGGGATCCACCTTTCAGGCAACCCTGGTGATCCTGTTTGTGTGACAGTAATCTGCTGCTACTCCCCTCAGCAGTACACACAGATCTCCTCCTTCGGGACCCCAAGGCACATCACACACCTGTGGGGGTTCATTGTGAAAGCTTTTCATGGAGCCAGAGTGAGACTGAGCAGTAGGGATGGAGGTTAGGTGAGAAATCAGTGGAGATGGGAGAAGAAATGGGCAAAATTAAGTAAAATAGTGTCCTCTAAGCCCTACTGGCCCATGCAGTAAGAGTCAGCGGACTGAAGGAACTTGGCCTACAGAGCAGGAGGTCCTCATGTACGGGAAGGAGCCACCCATCCCCAGCTTTCAGCGTTTGTTGCATTTTTTTGGCATTTCTAATTTTCATTTCAGACTTTGCCTTGCCATCCACAGCCTGTTCATCTCTTTCTTCCACAAACTAAGTTTGTTTATCAAAATCCATTACTAGATTTCAAAAACACCCACTTATTTGCCTCCACGTTGCAAGCTCTCTCACCAGGCTGACATCAGAGACCGCAGTGCACACCCATCACGTACAGGGTGTGCACAAATATGGCCCTTAACATTAGTCATGTGGTCCCTGAGAAAACCTGTCATCCACTTTCTGCTTCAGGAATTTTGTAAAATTAAGGAACAGCATTTTAAAGTTAGATGTATGTAGATTAGGCACTCAGTAGATGTATAATGAATTCGTTTTTAAAAGATAGGTTTAACTCAGCCTCTCTTTATGCAAACAGACTTGCACAAAGTTGTGAGATTATTTATGGAAGAAACCAGGATGGAATGCAGGTCAATCCTCCGACTCTCAGGAAGATATTGTTCACAAATGACTTTGATAACAAATGGCAGACGCTCCAGTGATTCAGCTGTATAATGTAAGCACACAGGTCTACGTGCCAGCCTGAAAGTATCATTCAAGGCGAATCCATTAAAGCAAGGTCCCTGGAGACAGAGGTGTGCTGTGTTTTCTTTCTCTAGTTGGAGTATCATTCATCATAAACACAGCAAAACCCAAGGAAGGAGAGAATCTATCCTTGAGTACAAACTCTCTGCTGCGGGCCTTGCTTGACCTTTGAAAAATAAAACTCAATTCCCTTCCATTATACTTCTCAATCGGCACACTTATGCTTACTATTTAACCTCTGTACCAAAATGAAAACTCCAATCCCTGGAAATCTTTACAACCACTCTTTTCATTTTCTCACCTACCTACACAGAGATAGCTCACCTTTTCTCTGTCATCCTCCCCAGCTTGAGTTTTCCTATGGCCTATTTTTTTCAGTCAAGATCTTCAGTATAAAACGGAAGCAGTTTCAAAGTACCAAAAACAAAACAGAAGTTCAACTCGTAACAACTGAATTAATCAGAGACACAATTTAAGTCTTTAGAGACCTTTTTTTTTGTTTGTTTTAACTGTCCCATTTGAACTATACTCGCCGCCAACACAGCCAACGTTGCCCCCGAGCCAATGCCTCCGGAATAAAAATAACTCCACAGTCTGAAAACCATGTCGTGGTGAATCTGGCCCAGGCCAAATCCAGAACTGCCACTGTCCCTTAGCTGCCACCCTCTGCGTTGCTTTCAGAATCCAGACGTTAAGTGGAATAAGTTCAAATGCGCAGGTAACTTCTCCAGCACCAAGTACCAACACAAAGGCAAACTTGAAATTTGAAATGGGTCATACAAGAGGTGTCAAGTCTGGGACACTCATGCTGAGAAGAGGATGCCGCAGGGAAACAACTGACCAAGCCCACTGTGCCTGCGCCACACGATGTTACCCCAGAGACCCCACCTGTCACCCAACTTACCATATGGATGGTGCTTCTGTCCCGCTGATCTCCAGGAAATCGTACCCCTCCTCCAGCTGGAAGTCAGTGAAGACCAGAGCAATGGTGTCCCCAGGCTCAGCAAGGATGGTCCAGGTGCAGTCTGCGTTGTTCTCGTACTCTGAGGGGAAGTGTGGGCTCGAGATGGTGCTGCTGGTTCCCCTCAGCGTCCCTCCACATGCGCCTTCAGCTGCAGGGACAGAAGGGGGCAGAACTGAGACTCAGGACGCTTGCTGGGTTGAGGCTGCGCTGCGTGTCCCTATCAGCCAGGGACAAATACACTCTAACCCAACGTGCAGGCGATCAGGAAAAGAACGCCTCTGCTCTGTTCATTCAGTTCTCCAAAAAGGCTCACAGAAGATTAGGAGTTGAGTTGCATTGTTAACTGAATGGTCCTTATAGGAAAGAGTGGAGTTGGGGTTTTCTAGGACTGGGTTAAAGATAAATAAATTGAATAAACCTGAAATGTAGGGCACTCTGTTAGTCTTAAGAAAGTATAAATCTTTTTGTAGGGGCATGAGGTGGACAAGATTGAAATATAGATTTACTTAGTAGTAATTCAATTACATATGAAAGTAAATATACAGCAAATTTGCCATGTGAAAATGTGTATGGTGACATTTACATACATGACTATTTCATACATACATACATGATCAGTAACATACCACAAACACTTTCCTAATGTTTACAGTTTATACTTCTCTCTGATTTCATTTAATACTCTAAATTTAAGTTCTCGCTGTACAAGACCAGTTGCAAAGCAAAACAAGTTGTAACAAATGAATAAATATGAAGATGAAATGTCACTGAAGAGTGAATTTAGAAGTTATCAGAATCCAATGCTAAGGTTGGATGATTGGTGAGAGGTTTTAAGTTAAATCCAACTTCTAAGACTGCATAACTCCTGTGTAATCTGACTTGTTGGCACACAATGCCTTCCGAGGGTTTAGAGTGGAAAATTTGATACAGATTCATTCTAAATTGTTGCAACAACTCCTGACACACTCAGCTACCTCATCTTTGACAAAGAAGCCAAACACTCTCACTGCAGGAAAGACAGCCTCTTTAATATATGCTGTTGGAAAAACTGGATTTCAAATTGTCAAAGATTAAAATTAGACCCCTATCTTTCACAATGCACTAAACTAAAATCCATGTGGATTAAAGATAGAAATATAAGAACAAAAACACTAAACTTGCTGGCAGATAGGTAGAATTCTTGAAGATTTCAGCATAGGGAAAGAATTTACGAACAATTCTTCAGTAGCACAGGAACTAGCACGGAGAATCAACAACTGGGATCTCATCTTTTAAAAAATCTTCTTCACTGCCAGAGAAATCACAAGCAGAGCTAAGAGACAACACATAATGTGGGAAAAAATTTTTTACCAGCAGTTCCTTGGATAAAGGTCTACTACTTCCCCCCCAAACATAAAGACTCAATTTAAAAATGGGCATCTAAAATGAACAGACATTTCTCAGACTAAGAAGTAAAAGCAGAAAATAAACATATGAATGATGTTTAATATCACTGGTCATTTGAGAGATGCAGATAAAAACAACACTGCGATTCCATCTCTCCCCAGAAAGAATGGCTGCTATCAAGAAATCAACCAATAACAAATGCTGGTGGTGTTAGGGCGAGAAAGGAACACTTGTTCATTGTTCTTGGGAGTGCAGACTGGTGCAACCACTGTGGAAATCAACATGGAGATACCTCAAACAACTAAGATTAGAAATCCCATTTGACCAAGGTATTCCTTTGCTGGGTATCTTCCCAAAAGAATTAAAAGAATCATACCACAGCAATATATGCTAACCCATATTTATAGTGGCACCGTGAGCAATAGCTAAAATTTGGAAACAGCCCTATTGCCCATCAACTGGAGATTGGAGAAAGAAGATACGTTTTTTTGTTTTTATATAAAGTGTAGTACTACTCAGCCATAAAGAATGAGAAACTAGAGAGAGTTATAGCTAAGTGGATGCACACTGAGGCCATACTCAAGTGAAATTTATAAATTACCCATGTATAAATACTGAATAGTTTCTCTGGTGTGAAAAAATAGAAGTGTAAATAAGGATCAAAATGTGTAATTGATATTATGTAATAGGAAGAAAAGGTCTAAAAGAGTAGAGGAAGTGGGAGGGGTAGGGGAAAGGTAAAAAGGAAAAAGAAAAAATATGTGAAAAGTAAAAACGTGGAAACAATGTCTTTGTAAACATGAAGGGTGGAGGGAGTGAAGGGAGGGCTGAGGAATGGGGAAAAATGAGAACTAAGACCTGTCATGTAAACGTACAAGGTCCCAGTGATGAATGTAACTGTGTTGTATATCTAAAATGTACCAATAAATTTAATAAAGATAAAAATAAAATAGAAACACACTCTGCAAGGCCATGTACACATTGAGGAACTGTGTGTGACTTAGAGGGCTGTGACACTGGCTCTCTGTGAAGTATGGTGAAGCACAGAATATGTCTCTAAAACAAGCAGCTCCCCGGGATTCTTGTGGGAAAACCTCTCAGTGAGCACCAGCGGAGAGGTCATGCTGGAGCCGAGTGGCCCCGGCCAGCGGCACCCCTGAGAGACGCGGGGCCCCTTCAGCCCTGTGTTCTGCCCTGTGGAGGCTGCCGGCCGGATCTAGGGGCTGGTGCCATCCTCCACCGTGGCCCGGACAGTGGTGACCAGGGTGCAAGATTGCTTCATAATTTCAAAAGCTGTCACCTGACAGAGGACTCTGGGCCTCGCCGCACGGCCTCAACTCCCAACAGTGTGTCCACTTTCCATAATCACCCCATAGTGGTCCAACTGAATCCTCTCCTCTCCCTGCCGTGTCCACACCCAGAGTCTCAGAGCTTACACCCCTTAGGCCCCCACACACCTACATGTCCCTCCACTTCACTGCCTGCGTGAGCAGGTCATGAGGGCCACGGCCACGGGGCGATGGCAGACCCTGGCTCAGGGGCTCCACAGTGCCCTGACACCAGGGAAGGTTTCATGGCAACCGAGCTGGCAGTAGGACCAGATGATGCAAAGGCAAAAATAACAGAAAATAAAAGCAGTGGAAGTGAACACTGAAGTAAGTTGACAGAGGAGAACAACTGCACTTTCCCCTGCTGTGTTTCCTTTGGGAGAGACTGCGCTGTCCAGAGGGCATTTTAACAGGCACCGCGTCTGGACTGAGGCCAGTGAGACAGATGCCCATGTAGCGCCAGCCCTTGCCGCCCTTCACACGGAAGCCCAGAAAGCACCATCTCGGCGATCTGGCTGGCCGGTTTGGGTGCTAGATGTGTAAAATCCATGTATGTACATACTCTGCAGCACTCGTTTTGATGAAAACTGAAGCGGCAGAGAATCCTACTCAGTTCGTAGTGCGAGTGTTGTGAAGCAATGGTCATGCCAGCAGAGGTTTGTCTGCCAGGACTTCCTGCCTCTTCAGTGCCTCACGATTTTGTAAGACATTTTACTACCTACACTGCAATGTTTTCCACATCTAAAGACATGACAGCATTTGAAGAAATCCTAGTCATCTGTGATTTTCACTGAGTAACATGCGTTCAAATATAAATCAGCCTGTCTCATGTTTAGACTTAGCCATAGCTGCATAATTTTTAAATCATGCAACACAGTGAACACTTTTTGGAGCACGATTTACCTCGAGACTAATTAATTTTAATTAATTACTCAATTAATTAATTTCTGAAACCTTATGTAGTTATCAGTTTATCTTCCAGGACAGCTGCCAAAGATATTGCAATATATTTTCCCCAAATATCACTAAATGTAAAACTCTGTGCTGATCAGAAACTGATGCTTATACCTTCATAATTTAGAGTGTTCTAAGGAAAGAAGGCATCATTTCACAAAATAAACTGAAATACTTAATTAGAATGTAAAAAATGTTAGGACATCTTGTATAAACTAGCTATACATAAATAAGCATGTTTTAAGGTATAAAATAATGGATGAATTAACATAATAAGAGATAATGCAACTAACTCAAGTAAACAAATATATGAAGCATACTCCTGAAACAATAATTTATTTGTTTTGTTTTGTTTTTCTGGTACTGGGTATTGCACTGAGGACTTTATGCTCTCAAGGCAGCAGTGGCCCCACTGAGCTAAATCCCCAGCCCCAAAGTAGAAGAATTTAAAGTGAGCCAGTCTATCTATGTGATGTCATTTCAAAGCAAATATATATTAGCATTTAAAACACACAAGGAATATTTGCAACATCACAGGAAAGGGATATTATTTATAATTATCATAGATACTCAAATTAAAATAATAGTAGAACATCATCTAAAATCCGTTACAAAGTGAAAATGTAAGATAGCCAAGAGCAAAATTTAAGCTATTTCATGTCCCTCATTTCACTGTGTATTAATGGCTCCAACCGGAGGGAGAATGGCTGTGTTTGCATATTTTGGTGGATTACCATGTTTTCAGTCTTCTACTTGAGGAATGTGTTCAGAGTCTGCGTTCTATGCTATCTCATTTATGTGGACTGACTTAGTCATTTCAAAAATGTATGGGAAATCTTTGTAACTTTCTCAATTGCACAGTTGTTAAAAGTAAATTTTTCATTATTTAAAGGGAAACTGATCCATCGACTGAGAGACTAAGCAGCACAATATTGTGATCAATTAAACAACATTAGAACAAGTTAATACGGACACTGGACTGCACAGCAAGAGTGTGTGATACATACTGTGTAGATCAGCAAAGGGTGTGGCATCCAGGTTCACACACATGTGAGACTGAGCTAAGAATAGAGATCACAGGAAGTGTAGAAACTTAAAATAGTCCTATTATGTGATTTTAAAATCTTTCAATTTTTATCAATAAATAGCCTAGTGAGTAAAAACTTCCCTCAATCAATGAATGAAAGTCATGAGTATAAAAATAAAGGAAGAGTGATATTTTGGGGATGTTTGTTTTACAGTTGATACTTCTCTTTGTCTTAAAATCATGGGTAAATAAGAGAGAAAAAGCAACATCTATAGTTACCCACATATGCAGATAAAGATTTCACAATATTTTATTTCCTTCAAATGAAACAGAATAAATCAGGACAAACTCATGAATAATTATCAGAGATTATATTATGATTTATGTTGCTCACATCTTCTAGAGAACCCAAGAATATACCATTTTTCAGTTTTTCACTGGGGTTGGTGCTTC